ATAGTCCTTGCTCAGTGTGAGCTTTTTTGATCTCTTTTTCTCCGCTCCTTTAATTGAAAAATTTCTGTTTTTTTGGAGTGTTTAATACATTCTCACTCTGGTTTTTATAATAACTTTAAGTCTACTTGTGTTGCAGGCGAAGTGACGATTGAAGGTGTAGTACCTCCACCTGGCATGATGGTTCCTCCTGCACCACAGATTGAAGCGGCCTCACCTCAGCAACAGGTCCACATGCAAATGCAACATCAGCAACATATTATTACTGCTCAGCAGCAACCATCGTCTCAACCACCGCCTCAGCATATTCATTCACAACCAATACAGGTGAATAGTTATTTGCAAAAGTGGTAATAAGCTATAAAATGGCTTGCTTATTTAGTTAGCTTCATGTACAGTGCAAAAATAATCCATGTTCTAACACAGACCTACTGCAATAACTACATTTATTTTCCATTGGAATTCTTGAGTTCCACCCGTTTTTTGGGTCTCCTACCTTTGAATCTTACTTATTTCTTTTGCAATGCTTCATCCTCATGCTTCCCGATGCTTTACCTGCCAAAGTGGTGTTTGCAATTGCTTTTGCTCTCTCTTATGCTACTCGCCGATTTCGTAATGAAGTTGAAAACCTATATTGGAAGTAGCCTTTTCTATTTCTTTCTGGCTTTTCGATCACTTTCTATTTTTTTTTCTTTTCTGTAGAGAAGAATGTTTCATTTGTTCTGTGCCTTCCGTGGACTTCTCATTTCCCGTAGTATTTTCTGTAGTTCTATCTATGTTCATTTGCTTGTTGCGTTTCTCACTCTCCTTACAGCGATCCTCCTCCTTAGCCTAATGGGAGTCCTCCTTCAATCAGTCTGCTTAGATTTGATATGTTCCCTCTCTCTCTAATCTTCATTCTTCACAGGAGCAGACTTTCGACTCACAATTTTTCTTACACCCACATGAGAAAACTTTCAAGTCGGTATACTTCTGACGCCAAACATATTTGAAGGACAAAATCGTAATCTTCCAACTTAAGTGATGTTTTCTGCGCTCATCTCTATTGCGGCTTTTGAAGTGTTTCTCAAGAGCTAAACTTAGAAGAAATTTGGAGATATCCTCACAACATGTATATAAGGTTAGGAAGTTGAGAAAGGTACTATGCTCCCAAGGGATTTTCCATGACACTATTGTTTTTCATCGAGCTCGTCTTGGCTCTCTCATTAGCTAAATTGTGATACTTTATATACCTCCGATGCCTGGGAGTGCCTCCATAGATCGTACCCGATTCCTGATCAGAGTAAATCGTCAAGTGTTAAAAGCATCGAAATTAGGCTAAGTTTCTCCCCTAGAAGGTACCGTAGTACGTCTGAGTCTGATTCACCTTGGTACCCCTCACATCTCTCCGGCCAACGAGGGTATATACATATAACTATAGAAACGACGAAATTTTCTAAATTCTTCAGATTTCCAAAAAAAAAACTTCAATTTTCCCGGAAATATATTTTTGCCTCAAAAAATACGATCCCCATCGGTAAGTAAATCCTAACGGACGGTTGATTAAGTTTTGCAAGAGCTGCGAGTAAACATAGTCTCTTCGTGTTTTACTTGCTAAGTTTAAGGTACAAGTGGTACAACAGCAACCACAACAACAGCAGCAACACTACCAGATGCATGAAGCGCCTGCTCAGATGGAACATCAACAGATGCAAATGCATCCACATCCACAAATGGGGATGCAGCAGCCCCAACAAATTGTGCATTCTCATCCACAACATCAACAAATGCCAATGGTATCACAGCAGATGCCGATTCCCTCATCAACAGCATACTCAGCAAATTCCACCTGACCAGCGTCAAGCGACTTCGCAGGGCATGATGTATGCACCGACGTCTGGAGCTGTTAATGTGGTGTCAGTTCCTATTCAAGAAGCATAGCGAACAGGTAAATTCACGGTTTTACCCCTTCATACAGCTGGTTGGAACCATTAGTGGTATTCTTTCTTTTATACTTTTTCTCAAGGTTTCATATAGTTCCAGGTGGCTCCAATGGAAAGAAACTGACTCCGCTGCTGCCGTAGAACCCATGGATGACACGCCTGTTCAACATCCAGAAGAAGAGGTAACAATGAGTGGCCTATAGCCTCACTTCCTATACATATGCTTTCCTTTACGATGACCTCGTCAAATATTTCTTTAAAGATGATCCAAGTTCGACAATTACAAGAAGGAGCATTGGATAGTGCGCTTCTACGACCACCTGATATTATGAGCCGGATCACTCAGTGTATGAACGAGATGTGCTATGTTGATGAAGAGGTTCCTTTTCTAGGAATAGTTTTGTTCAATAGGGGAAAGAATTACTTCGAAATTTAAGGTTCTTGTATTGATATCTGATGCAGCCGAATGTCGTCTTCGGGAGATTATAGGAGAGCTTACTATTCTTGCAGAACATAGAATGGAACCCTTGAGGTTGGTTATCTTTTCAAAGTTCCGCCGATATAGTCTTAGTTATTTTCTTTTCATTAGGTTAAATCCAAACTATGGGCCCATTGATGATACGCGACGTCAACTACGTTTTCTTGAAGACATTGATAGACAGCAGGAAGAACAACGAGAAAACCGCGAAAAGGAGGCATTAATACGAATGAGTAAAAGCAAGGGCATTGCAAAGGATACGATTGAACGAGCCAAGGTATGTGTGTGTTACCGTATGTGCATCCCGCAGTCCTGATTTCCGGCACCTGTGGAGCCCTCTACTTCCAAAACTTTATTTGGAGCGATGCAAACGCAGAAGGACAATATACTGTCACATTCCTTGGGGGTTTCCATTATGCTAATGTTATCTTGATGTTAATCTTATCTCCAATAGACTGGTTGCTACCAGTTTTGGGTAGTGGCGTCAGCGAAACTGTCACTACTCAGTGCGCGGTGGCGTGCTGAGCCAGATTGGTGTAGATGATGGTATGATGGCATTCGCCCTCATTTTTCTTGGTCTTTGGGATGTTTTGGAACCGAATTGGACAACATTATTGCCGGCATCGCCCATTTGCCGCAGAGCGTGGGTTTAGTTCCCCAGGACCCGTGCCTGCTTCATGCAGCCTGGTTCATGCTCTACCCATCCCGTTTTGTTGTTGTTCTAGTTATCCTGACACGGTACGGTTTGTTTTTCTGGTTGTTGCCTGGTACGCCTCGAGTGCATATTAAATAAATAAATTGCCCTCTCCGAGTGATTTTTGAAGCAAAAATTATGAATTGTGGGAGACAACTCACTTGTGGCTTGGAGGAGGCCACTGGAACTCTGGTTAATATAGGTAAGGTGCTATCGTGCAAGTCTGCTATACATATAACGAAAACCATAACAATAAATAACTACCACACCTTGTAAAAATTTGCACCGTGTAAAATTGAAGAGACTTGAAATCGGTGGAAATGTAACCCTACGCGATTTGTTCTTTAGCTGTTCACTAAAAGTAACAACTGTCCCATTAGACTGCACACCTTAGGGCAATACTCCGCTCTTGTTTGCTTCGTTGCGATGTTCATATAGTACTAGTTAGAGCCTGAGGTCATCAATCTTACGTACACCTTGGATAGGTAACAACAATGTTACCTAAGGCTCTATCCGCTCTGTAAACGTTAAGAGTTACAGGAAATGCAACGTGCAGATGCTGAAGCCAAGCGAAATCGTGATGCAAACGCTGCTGCGATTGCTGCTCTTAGTAGCGGTAGCAAAGTTGCTAGACCAAAGTAAGCCTTTTCGAGCATTTGCTGTATCGGCTATCACGGGTTTTGCGATTAGTTTGGTCTCTGTTTCTGAGTAGGGCAAAATTTCAAAGCAGCTCAAGTTCCACGTTCCACAAGATGCGGGGAAAACTAAACTTCAAATTCCAGATGGGATCAAGTAAGCGGCGGTGGAGTTTCCGGGGCGGTACACCGTCCTCGTACAGTACGTGTCAATATTCGCGATCTTCATGTTCTTGTCAATAAAGACAGCAGATTTCGCAGGTACTGTGAACATCACATAAATAACTATCCTCTCGTATTATACTGCCCCATACCTCAGATCTCAACTCGCTCATAAGCTGGCTCTCAGTGGACCACCAAGTGAATCACTTTGAAGTTTTATTTGTTCATAGTATAAGTTGTGACGTGTGTTTTACCTTGACAATTCTAACGATGGAAATTCTCACTATGTTACATTTCTTTATTACTGACATCTACTGTATTTACGGTCTTGTTTTATGTTACATGCAGGAGACCCTTCAATAATTTTTATTCTCGTACTATACATTCGTTTTTATAGATAGATCTACACAAATTAGTAGAGAATTTCTTCGTCGATGACAACTATAGGCAAAAAACACTAGATAAAAATATGGGAGATATGAACATGCATGTACATCCACGAAAAATCTGGACTGTCAAACAGTCAAGGAAGGCTACATGACTGCCAAAAATCGTGCCCAAACAAAATATGTACAATTGGTAAAGGGAACAGGAAATTTTGTGTGAGAAAATTTACCTCCATCTTGATGTCTGATCAGTAGCAAACATTGGAGCAATTGAGTGCAGTGCAATGTATTTAATCAAGTGCTTCGGCAGTGGGAGCTTCCACATAGCCTCGTTGAATGCTTCACCGAAACTTTTCAGAGACGCATGTTGTTTGTCGCGTTCTTCTTCAGCCAATTTTTCTACCTGGAATTCCAAAATGAGCAGCAGTGTAAAAGAGTGAAACTTAACGGCAAAGGCATAGGAGCTCCAAAAGGCTCCACCTTACAACCGATCGAAGCAGTAATTGTCTGGGTCGATAAAAACAGAGTTGGGTAACGGGAGAGTTGCTGTTGAGTGTTAAGACATACATATTGCTGCTTAAGAATAGATGCTATATACTCTCGAGTCATTTGCTCTGCGTACCTGGATGCGTCATATGTAATCTGCGCCACGGAAAGACTGATAAGTGCCGAAAGTTCCCATCCTATTTCCAAAATCCCTGTTGCTGTATGCCGTCAGCACCTTTTCACGAAAGGTTCTCGAAATGTTCGCATACTTTTGTTCAGAAACATAGGGGTTATTTTGCCTAACGTGAGTATGTAACAGTCATTGTCAGTGCCGTCTGATTACACATATCTATCGGCAAAAAAAGTGATGGAAATGAGAAATCGATATGGTCACGCAGTTCAGTCTGCCCGTTTAGCACGTCCCCACTTCAAAAATTGATTTGTTCGCTCCAACCAAAATTCATGGGCAACAATAACCACTACCCCTCAGGCCGATTTTCCAAATAGCTACTGGAAATCGATCTCGTATCGAACTCATGTCTTGCCTATGAAACTGCCTAATCTCGTTAAAACAACGTAGCTGACCTCATCTTCATTGTTATCGCCGTCTGCTATGCGCGCTCTTTTAGCGCTTCGTCGTGACATTGAAGGACGAGGTCTTCGTGTCGGATTCGACCCACCAGCGTCATTGTTATTCCCATTGTTTCGATCGGTTCCTAGATAAAATTCTGAGCGTGGGCTAAATATAATAACAATAATACACAATTCTCAAATGGGACACTTTACTAACTGCCGCGGTTACGATTTGACGCTAGGAATTCCCGTAGATCCATAACGTCGCGTGGGAAACTAAATACCTTCAATGATTGACCATTAGAAACATCATTAAACATGGCAAAAAATGATGGAATGCTAAATCAAGGACTGTGGCAAGGAATTCACCTCTCCCAGTTGCGATCCTCGTTGCTCGCCTCTTCCTCACCATTAGCCTCAGTCTCTGGCTCTCTTTGCTCTTCACCATGACCACCATCTTCCGTTGATTCCTGAAAAAATCAATCCAATATCCGGCTTTAGACGTAAAGTCGAGGTTGCGCACAAAATAGACTGAGAAATATTAGGAATTATATGAATATCACTATGACACTTTGTCGTTTATGAAAAAAAAAACCAAAAATGCTTCACTAAGAAATGTAAACGCTACTGCAATCTGGCTTACAGGCAAAACCTGTGTCATAACCCAGTATTCCTGTCAGACTTCTATATAGGAAACTATGGACAACTCAACAATCAAAAAAGGTGTCTGAAAAAATTCACGTGATAACCCCGAAAAGTTTTAAAATCCGAGACGGACTTAGAATGGCTAATGGTAAATTGGATAAAACACTGAAAAAAAACTCACTTCTGAAGGTGGCTGGACGCCTTCGACTTTCGGAGCTACAGACTCAGCTGACATTGAAGTGACTTCATTCGAAGAGTTACCTTCATCGGTGCGATTGGAGCCGTTCGCTTCACTACAGCCGTTATTCTTTTCCTCAGATACCTCAGAAGACGGTGCATCGACCGAGTGTTCGTCAGCACCATCACCTGCCCTATCATCAGCGGAAGTATCACTTGAGGAGTCGTCACTTGGTGACGCTGATCTTTCATGATTGTCTTCACGTTCACGATCACGACGACCTCGAGCATCACGTTCAAAGCCGAGTATAGCGTTTAACCAGTGTAGGCCCATTCTGTAATGATATCTTTCGCACTACGGCTGCTTACATGGCCGACAAACGTGGGGCGCGAGCGTTTCTTTGTATGACGGCTATCGACAATCGCCTACGTGCAATGCACCTGTGCTAACCAGAACCCTTGCATAGTGCAAAATGCTGTGCAATATCTACTTTGGACTTCTGAATTTCAATAACATAAGATAGTAAACTTGTGTCTAAAATTTCGCTTCCAAGTGGATGAAGAATGAAGCCGACGAATATCTTATCAAATTTAGTCCTTGAGTACTTATGTGAACAAATACAAATTCACATGCGGAGATTTTCACGGATCTGTTAAGGACGACATTAAAAGTTCGGGGCAATGAGTTTAGAAAGACCCTGAATAAACTACAGAAAAGAAGCGGTTGATTCCTACCAGAACCCCATAGTAAGGGCAGCGGCGCCGTGTGGGATCTACGTGACGGTCACGCTTCAGTCATGGGCTCTTAGAAAGTACGCTCGTGCCCTACCCTCGATATGTAAGCAGCCTGATAGAACTAAATGGTTACTGAAATCAAATTATAAGGTAAAAGTGTTATTGTAAATGGGATGTAAATCATGCTGCTATCTGATCCGAATGGATGTTCACAAAAAACTTCCTAGGTCTACTAATGTAAGTGAAGCAACGTATTCACTAACTACAGGATAATGGAATCAGCGACATACAGCAGTCGAATTATAAAAGAAAGAATAGTTATTGATTTGGTTGGAGGATCTCGTACCATTTTAGTGAGCCGGGTGAGAGCTACGCAACTGTGCCCTAAAACGCTGTGAGTTCGCATGCACTAGGCCATGAGTAGCATCTAGGATGACAAGATATAATAGAAAAAATAAGAAAATGCCCGAATCACTTGGTAAGGGGATTTATCACAAAAAGTGGCAAAGTTGCTGACTAGAGAATTAAATGAAGAAGGGAGAGCCTGGATTATGAAAGTTATGGAGGCCCTTCGGGTAAATTATCTATCACTATAAAGACGCCGAACTAGGACATGCCGACCAAGGCTCACACGAAGGTAACTGTTTACCTATCGTCGTCGTCAAGTTCCTCATCGTCCGATGGTGGTCCTTCATCTGCAAAAACGAACATTCCAGCGCCGAAGTCAAAATCACGATCGGTATCACCGTGACCTGCTCCATTTCCTCGCTCTCCATCTTGTAGTTGAACAGTTACTATATCGCGCATCAGAACATCACGGCCCCTGAAGAAAAAAGTTTCAATTAACCCTTTGACGATGATGCGACTGCACGTAGCGAGCTTGTGGGACAGCGGTGCCTAGGAACTCAGTGGCTTCGAAAGAACACAGTATTTAAGAAAATTTGAGTCCATAGCGACCACATTTAATACTTGGCAAAGTGTACCGCTTTTAATAGTGTCGCCTTTCGGAGTTACTAGCACCCACCTTAGAAAAAAACGCCATAACATCCGTTACACTCTGAAGCTGAAACAGCCCTGGCATACAGCGAATAAAAGAATCAAATAGGCTTCCAGCTTTTGATTCCGATACTGACCGGCATAGGCATTCGCTTCTCTTTCCTTTTCGGGAATTGTAAGCTGGTACAACCAGGAACGGTCACTTTGACTGCGGTGTCGAAACAGCAGGAGACAAAAAAACTAATCAAAACAGTAATATCTCTTTAAGCTCTCAGCCTTGCGCATTTGGTGCTCCGGTGGTGTATCGGTAACACTAAAGCCCCGAAAGCTGTATGTGCTGGTTCGATTCCCGTCTGGGGCAAAAGAATTCGCCCATAATTCCTCATTGTAATGGAACACAGCAGAGTGTTTCGCAGAACTATGACCAAGAACAATGTGCGCTCTTATAATTACAGGCAGGACCACATAGCAGGTGCTCATATGAGTTACTAAGGCGCGGCAGGTGAAAGACTGGAACTGCCATGATCCAATTTTTCTCTTCGTTTTCCGAGCCGCTCACCTTTGCACGAAAAGCTGGAAGCTAGAAAGAAAGTAGAAACAATCTAGATAGACGCTTTAAACTAAAAAGCCGGCTTTTGTCGACAAGAAAAATTGCACGCATTTCAACAAATAAGAAACTTCGCCAAAACTAAGAACACACACCACCACCCAAAAATAGAATGTGTGCGCACTACTACCTTTGAAACTAAGAAACGGATATGCTTCACACCTTTGAAACAACTTTTCAGAAAAAATCTAGTTGTTTTTAGTTTGAATACGTCTACTCAATAACTCGAATTCTAGTTTTAGTTCTCACCTCTGCTCACGTCTCGTTCGATCGTGCGCTTCGAGACGGATTCGAGCTGCTCCGAGATTTCGAAACAGTTCAACGCGTATTGGATGACGAATAATATTGACTTCCTCCTGATTCTGCCCGTCGCCTATTTCACCTTCAGCATCGACTTGAGGAGAGGGATCATCAGGCCTTAATGAAAACATCTGCAAACTGTATTTGTGGATAGACTTTCCTGACCTTGTGAATAGGTCAATACTTTCGAAAAAAGCAGGAAAAGGGAAAAATTAAACAGATAAACTTTTAAAATGTGAAGAACGAAATGGAAGTCTTTGCTAACCCTGGGGGATTCGAGTCGTCGACAATACTGCGCATAAAAACTGGACACTCCTTTAAAACATTTTTCCGGAGAGTTGCTCGTATCACATCTCTGCATAAGTCAGCCAAGGAGGGAGGCCTTAAGAGAACCATGAATGATATTAAATAATGAAAAAAACTTTTTCGAGGCTCGATATTCAGGGCACGCAAGCTTACCGCACGAAGCACGGGAGACAATCACGACGATCATCTTCCTTAGGTGGCAGTAGATCGGCGAACTGGCAAGCCATAAGAACTTGGGATGTAAAAGTGCTTTCAGCAGTACGCGTATAAGCCATCAGCTGAATAATACAAAAATAAGCCCATTTCTTGTTCTGTTTATACAGTAGTATTAATTCGAAGAAAACCTACGCTATTCCTAATTGGAACAATGAGCTTGCCGCCAATTTCTAATAGTTTAATAAGACGATTAACAGTGTTTTCATCTGATACTGCAGCACCGCAGTAAACACGATCGTACAAGTGCGTCGCTTGTGCTAATTCTTGAGCCAGGCCATTGCCGTGGAAGAATCTGAACCAACAAAGGTCCGCTACGAAATATAGAAGAAAAACGGGTACTATCACAGAGCTGTGAAAAACCATTTTGTTTATGTTTCAATTTCACAGAGAAGTACAATTCAAGTGCTCTTTTCACCTATACCGCAACACATTTTCTTGTTGTACATCGGGAAAAGCAGAAGAGTTCCGAATTTCTCAGACTCACTCGTAGAAGGGCCAGATATAAAAAATTATTGAAAACACAGCGCAATGCGACAGTATGCATACCAAGTCTCGTAAATAAGCCCACCCAACATCGTAGCCACAGCTATTAACCCTTTGACGACCGCGCGCTCTAAACGTGTCTAGCGTGTGGGACCGCACGCCAGACACGCATGTGGCCCGCCGGCGGGCCATACGGTCCCAGGAGACCGCATTTTTGCTTAATTATAGCAACATTGACTGAATTGCAAACTTTCTTACATTGTAATGCAGATGGATTATTAGGAAAGTACTGAAAAAGACCAATGAAAAAGACCTCAGAATATTAGTGTAACAGAAGTGTTTTGATAATACTGTTGAAGTTGCAGCTACCGAAAACAATTGTTTTCTTGCGCAAAACTTGCATTCAAAAATCGACCAGATTTGAATACAAATGCTTCTTTCAAGCTTCTTTCTTTAGTCACTGTGGTGTCAATAACAAGTAACGTTATTCAATAGACGGTTACTACCACACACTGAATTCCAATTTAGTGGCTTCAATTGGAACCTTAGTATAGCTAGCCTTTTGACAGGGCAGCCGTTTGCTGCACCAACCAGAACTCTCACTTTTACTTACATGCTATTTGTATTAAATCTAATTTGTATTACACCTAAATGACAATATTTTTTACAAACCAAACAAGCCCGGTGAAGCCCGCAACGACTGGGTCCTATCGACTGAACCATGCAAGGAATATTACTAGTGTGGCAACAAGTTGCAGTAAAGATCACTGCTCCAGTTTTTCAAAAATCACCACAGTGCTGTGTTCTCTGATTCTAAGTAGGATCAGTAGAAAATGAAATATATTGAAATAAAAAATATAATAACATTAGATTAGAAGTGTTTCTAGGCCTACTGTTTCTGGATTTCTCCCTAGAAGAAAGCAATTCGTGGACCACTGTGTACATAGCCTTGTTAGGGTGTTGTGAACATATTTAGTAACTAAAATTTCCAAAAATGTCAAAAGGGAGGAAATACAAGAAATTAGTTGCCATGGCCCGCCGGCGGGCCATACGGTCCCACACGACCGATTTGGTGTGGCCCGCCGGCGGGCCATACGGTCGTCAAAGGGTTAAACCGAAAGGACTTCACACCACATGTTCGAACAGAAAAACCGTAGACTTTCCAGTACATTAAATGCTATCAGGTTGCAGGAAAATTAAAATTGGGTATCTCTGCCTCGTGCACCTCCATACCAACAACTGTTTCGATTGCTTGTTAACTTGTTTCTACTGCGAATGCTATCCCACCTTCTCTTGCTCTAAACAGCCATTGTGCTATTATATTATAGTATTATTTTATCGTCATTATTAAATGAATCATCAACTTGACTGAAAACTCATTACGGGCAAAGGCTTATTTGGATTACTTTCATCTTTCGCCTGAAAACTTTTGGTGTTCCAGTACTAACCAGCGCAATCAGAACTTCTTGGACTCCATTCAAACATAATATAATATATATGAATTTAAAGATTTTTCATCAAGTTGCTGACGCTAGGGAACTATTTTCCTATAACATGCTTCTTAACACTGAAAATTGAAACTCACGCAGGTTTTGCCCAAGGGAATGCGCACACCTCAGGACGTCCAATAGTCTCCGCGAGTTTCTCTTCAGCAAACTTGATAAGGTTTTCGTGAATTTCGACTCCATGGTTGATTCCAGAGCCACCTAGGTAAAGCACATTGATGCTCGAAAACGGTAACCCGACACACTAGAGAAACAGAAAATCAAAAAAGAGGAGCTGCAATGGGCAAACGACTTAGTGAAAATCTTGGGTTCCCAACGAAAAAAAAATCCCTCGGAGGAAGTGATGTCATGTAAATGCAATGTGACAAATAGCACGTGCGAACATGCAACTGCCTTGGTAGTCCCAACATTCTATTGAACCCTTTGAAAAGACTATCACCCAATTAATCGATACAAAGCACATGACTGAGAGTAAGGGATGCATGGTGTTACGGGGCTGTCACCTCGCACAATCGAAAATATGAAAACTCATAAGGCTCTAAAGGCTTGTCGAGAAGGATTGAAGTCATCATCACTTTCATTGGAGATCGTTTTGAATCAAGATTTGAAATAAGAAAAAAGCTGACCAATTAAGAATCCTGCAGCTGTACTCAGCCAGCCGGTGCCGGATCCGACGTTCAGAAACGCGTGTCCTGGTTTCAGGTCAAGTTTTTCCAGAACAGTGGCATACATGCTTGGAGCAGATATGTGCAGTTTTCCGGGAGTCCATTCTCCAGTGGCCTCAGCAGGAACCTCAAGTTTAATCAATAATCGTGTTATCTCAAAAAGGCCTCACAAAACGCTATTAGTTCAGTGCTATCGAGACAAGAAGGAACTCGTTAACTCCCAAAAACCTCACCTTTTTGGATACAGAAATAAAGGAAAAACGCTACAAAGAAACAAAAAAAGGTACCTTAAATGGATTATCGCGATATGCTTCATCTATGTAATCGGAGGGGAAGAAACGTCCCCTGTCCACAAGTCTGAAATGACCCTCGTAAGGAGAATTTTGATGTGCAGCTCTACAGAATAAACTAACCTGAAAACCAATTCTACTTCTTTTGAAACAATTTGTCCATGTTTCACCAAGTTGTCAGTTAGATCGTCATTATCTTTGCTAGCCGCCACTCCCATAACCTTCAAGTATGTTGGGTTGTGAGTAGGTACAAAATAAGAATGAGCAATAGGAAAAAGAAGAGTATTCGACAATAGGCGGAATCCCACAGCTAGCGAACCTCATTTCACATTCACTTTGACAGTTAGACGTCAGTGAAATGTGTTGTACGCAATTGCGTCGTTACCCGAGCAAGCTTCACATCACGGGCGCACGTGATTGATTCTGACACAAAGTACGAGGCTTCGTAGGTATTTCGGGGTGCATTTGTTACCGTATTAGTTAGAGGAGTTTCTTAGGCAACACTCGCGCCCACTGTGTTCGTTCTGTCATTTGGAAACTAGCGTTTTCTTTGGTAATTGTGTGCGTGAGATTGATCAGCACTGGTTGCGGGCAATCAATACTTGGAAGTGCAATGAGAACTATAAGCAGCGTTCAAAGTACAGCTACAGGAGCAGCTGAGAACATTCTAAATGGCTCCCGTCTGCTTTTGTTTATTTTCTGCCTCTCGGCGGGACAAATGAGGAATTCGGAAGGTTGTGCGACTGAGTTCTAGGGAATTCCGATTTCTCCTGGATCCTGAAATAGTCGATCACACTGATAATTGCGTGCTGATAAGCGGTTTTGCACTGGCACACCACCAATCATCGGGCTGGAGGAACAGCTGATGTGTTTTTCAAATCACATTCTGCGATCGCTGATGTGGAGAGGAACCCAGTAGTGAAGATTCGTCTGGGTTTGAAGTAAAGCGTTTCGAATGCTGGGAAAAAAGGTCGGGGCTAACTTAGCAGCGCGAAACATTTTTCGCTGTGGAAGTTTCAGTTGCACTCATGATCAGCGGTGGACCTGACAAGGGAAGGATGGTAGGTCGAAGTGGCCGTTTGAAATGAAATGTATACCTCCTGATGCGACTCCAGACGCTGATTCCAAATCTGTCTTACAACTGCTAAACGACTCTCCGAACGGAGTTATGAAGCGTAATAGCTCAGTGGTGATGGTTCAGGGTGGCAGGTAAAAGATCATAGGATCAGTTCCTTTGCAAGTTGCTTGCTTTGCTTTTGTCTTTAGGAGTGTCGCGGTTAAAAG